TTTACTAACAGTTGTGCAAATGTCCTACCCTTCGTTTACGAGTCTACCCCCGTGGCTCTGGCAAGGCCAATCAACTAGCTCTTCTTTTTTTTTTTTGTGGAAAAGGAGCCCCTAACGTCGTCGTATTCGTCCCTCCCATGAGGATTCCAACTCATGTTCTGATTACTAACAGTTACATGAGTAGTAGAGTACAGATGGGCTGGGTACCAGCAAGGTCAGTCTCACTGCAGCAACTTCTGTGCTTGTTCGATGGGGATGACCTGTGCATTGCTTGTATATTCCGTTTATTAAACTTTATTTATTGTAATACAGTAAATTTGAGTAAAATTGGAATGCACATGTTGGTAAAAAAAAAACATGAAACTGTCCAAGTACAGACCCCGAGTTTGAATTCAGATCAAACAAACGGAATAAACTTCAATAAAGTAATTTATTAATTCTGAATTACCTGGGGCCGGTCAGTTCAATCATCAATGGATAGTAAGTCAAACCTGCTGCCCGTTTTTTGGGAAAAGCAATGCACGATGGGAGTCGTTGCCTGCCTGGGTCCGAACTTGGGAGTCTTGGAGAGTGAAGTTTATCAAGAGTTGGTGGTGCACTCTCTCCTGGATTCAATTTCCGTTGTGCTCCAGGGTTGTGGTTGTCTTTCGAGTTTCTCTTTTATAAGGAACGATTGCAATTGAGATCTCAGTGTCACTGCTTCTGATCGTGGACCAGAGATTGCTGTTAGAAAAAAAAAAACTCATCTGCGAAGCGGATGTAATGCATCCTTCGGTGGAACCGCCAGCAGCAAGGTCGTCAGACGGCTGTCAAGTGTTTAAAGTCCTTTCTTCCAGATATGTTCCGACGTCGATCGCAGCATCGATTGCAGCAGCATCGATCGCAGCAGATGGCGATGGTGCTTTAGCCTTTGATAGGTGCGTGGCACTGCATGGGTCCGATTTGGTGCACGACTGCACCATTACCAAACGTCAATCTGTAACTCATATCAGAAAGGTTGATGATCCTTTCACACAGCCCATGTGGGTGAATGGTATACTTGCTACCACATGTAACATTTTTCCTGAAGAGATCACGAGTTCGGATCCTGCGTGGGGGCTGATGATAAGGATAGAAAGCAGAAGGTTGGGGGTCTTTCCTGTTGTCTGAGGCAGTGAACAAGATTGTGCAGTCCAGTCAGGTTGTCCCCTTTGGGGGTCTTTCGTGTTGTCTGAGGCAGTGAGCAAGATTGTGCAGTCCAGTCGGGTTGTCCCCTTAATGACTAAGGTACAAAACTCTTGAGCACAGGTATAACAGGCACAAGGATAGTTTTTTTTTTTCTCTTCGAATGTATAGCAAGGTAAGAAACAGGGAACACTCTCTCTTGTTTTTGCTGCTCTGATGCAATCGATTGACAGCAGTGGACGTCGTTCTCGTTCTTGTCTGTGGACCAGGTTTCTTTTGGGATTTCTTGTTCCCGTCCTCTGGTATGTTGGCGGATTCCTGTACCTGATCTTCCCTGGCGGCCTCGACAGGAGGGAGCGACCAGGCTTGGCAGCCACGGCTGTTGCGGTAAGTCTTAACCCCCTCGGTGAATCACCCATAATGTGGCCTAAATTTCCGCCGTAAAATTAGTTGTTTTTACTGCTGTGAAAACTGCCATGGTTATGACAAGCGGCATCTCATCCCCATGAAGATGGAGGTCGACCGTTTTACGGTGTGATTGTGTGCATGGCAAATTCCGCAAACGAAGGTGAAGCGAAAAGGCCCCCAGAAGCGCAAGCATTATAGATGGAGGGAGGGGGGTAGCGAATTCTTTGGGGCCGGTGAAGTGATGACAAGTCCTACCTAATAAGCAGCTGAGCTGTGACTGAAACTCCAACTTGATGTGCTACACACTGCCTCCTTTTTTGTGCTTGCACGGTGCTTGCTGTCACATCCGGACCAGACTTTGGGCATTGTTCACGACTCTAGGCAACAAAAAGCAACCAGTTCTGGTGACCGACCAGCCTTCAACGTGCTGATATCCAGTCTCCGTATTCCGATGGGAAGGAAGTCACGTTGTGATAGTGCCTTGTGCGTGGAAAAAGCACCGATGAAACCCTCCTGAAGCGACCGACCTGGCTGGTCCTGACATGCTTGTCATTGTATCCGGATCGAACTTCTACCTTGAACGGAGGCCGTCACATCCAGAACGAACTTGAGCCGGATGTCACATATGGTGCCTTGTATGCGTGTCTGTGGGACTCTCCGATCAATTGGCAGCCTGATGTGCCACACGGTGTTTCTTTGTGCTTGCATGTTGCCCTGTCGCATCCTCCAAGCTCCCTGCGTATTCAGTGCTTTCACATCAGTCGTTAAAGTCACAAAGCATCCTTCCCCATGGCGTCCGGTGGGTAATTGCTCTTCAGCTACTGTCCATCCATTCTTCTGTTCTGTGCAGTGTGCCTACGTTGCATTCCCATGGTATCCCTGGAGATCAATCTGGAGCGAAGGTTACAAATGCTTTGTGAAAAATTTGGAGTCGTTTCTGAGGTACAGCGGTGCGGTGAGCCATGCACCATGCGCAAGGTGCCGATGCATGCACACTGCATGTGACTGAAAAAGGCGCAAGAGGGAAGGAGATAAGTTGGCCTTGGTCTTGAGACTTACAGCAGAACTCAACTGTCAGTTGGGTGAAGGTGTGGTGACATCTTTCTTAGATGGGTCATGGTCTGTCACGGAGAAGAGTTGTTGATTCCCTCCTCAGAGAGTGCCAGCTCTCTTTTAAAGGTGCAGGGGTCTCTTTGTAAGGTGGCTCAGCCCACTATATCATCGTCATCTCTGACCTCAGGGGCATCTGGAAAGTTCTCTCTTGTCCTTATGCATCGCTCTTGCGCTGCCCCCTCGTTCGCGATCCTGTCCTCGATGCGGAAATCTATGGAGGAATGGCACATTCGGAGAGTCCGAACTCGAGCTCTTGATCTCGTAGTTCTACGTCTGTAGAGACGCGTGTGTGGATAAAATAATGTAGTATTGATTTCCCTGCAGCAGAATATACGCTTGTGTGTGAGAGATAGTTACTCGAGGATTGATTGATAGGGAATCTTTGGATTCACAACGAGAGAGAGAAGTTGACTCGAAATCGGGAGGAAGATCGGAATGCAGATCTCTTTCTGTCCCCTTGTCCCCCGTTGGCTCTCTTCCTTTCCGGCCAAGACATTCTGTTGTTGTATCTGCTGAACAACGGATGCCACTATTGGTGACAACGCACATGAAGCAGGAACATGAGCATTTTGCTTCGCCCGGGATTTGATACGCGCATATTTCAAACCGGAAAAAAAATAATGGAAGAAAACTTCAAAAAAGCTGTGTTAAACTCCGCGCGGGGGGACGGGGAGGCCGTTTTCGGCTAGTGGTCGCTTCCCCAGCCTCCAGCAGCACAAGTTTTGTTTTTGTTTTTGATCTATGACCAGTTTTAGGGGGCGGGGAAGGTCTTCTCTGGCGACTGATCCCAGTTGCCGATCTGCAAAGATCAGTGGCTGAGATCAGCCGCCAAGAAATGGGTTCCCCCTCTGGCGGGCTACGATGCCGCGTTTGGATTCGAACATGGCATTCCCCGTTGCGAAGCCCGTTCACAACCGCACAGACTTCTTCTTTTTTCTTCTTCTTCTACTACCTCTTCTTCTTCTCCTCCTTCTAATTCTTCTTCTTCTTCCTCTTCTTTTTCTTCTTCTTCTTCTTCCAATATTTTTACTTTCTTTTTTCCCTAGCTGTTGGTCCTTGCATCCTCTACTTCCACGACATTATGGCGGGTACTGGCAGCGGCGTCGGTGCCGGGAGGGGCGGGTCTGGAAGGACGAGAGCAGACAAAGGATGTGGCGTCTTCTTCTTCCTCCCCGTCCTCTAACCCCTCCCCTCAGCCGACTGGCTGCTGCAACAAACCCTTTTAACCCCTTGTCA